TAAAAAATATATCAATTCTAAGTAGTAGCTACTATTTACTATTGGTAGTTATTATTTAGTACTGTAAAAGTACGACTGTAATGAAAGATATCATTAGTGCGAACAGCTTAGTACTTACTATAATACTACCGCTGTAGTGAGAAGATATTGCTTAGTACTGTAATAATAGTATTAATTATCAACGCTTAGTAGTAAAGTAGTACAACAGTAATGATAAATACTACTATTACGATACGACACCATTTCACTTGTACTGTATTTAAGTACTGATTACTGTACAGATGGACTGGACATGCCCTACTATACTATCAGCTCAATTAATGCTTTTACAGTACTAATATTTCATGCATAAAGTATACAATAAGAAATACAATAAAAATGTTTACAGTGCCATCTAGGGAGAATTAAGGTAAGCATAACTATATACAGCAAAATATTACCGTTTTACATTACTTACGTCTACTGTAACACCGAGATAATGAATTACAGTAAAAGAACCACGTGACGCGACGAATTTAAAGTATAAATAGTTCGTACTTCCTCTCGAATCCATAAAAATCCGAGCGAGGAATTGAAGAGGAAGGAAAACATCCGCTCTTAAGTCAGTTGCGAGATTCAAAACACACCAGACGTGGGCCTATAACTGCAGAAATTGGGGTCGTGATGAGTTGAACTCCTCGCGAAGATGGAGATGTTAAAAAGTCTCACGACTTCCGCAACCTACGAGGGCGCGAAAATGAAGGAATGATGTTGTCGTTTCTTTTTATTTTATTTTATTTTTCCTCACGATGAAGGAGCAGAGATCAAATGCCCGTTCCTTTTCTTCACAGGCTCGAGCAATTTGTCCATCTGTCACGATAAACTAACCTTTTTTTCGTGTGATAAATACGTGGAACCACGCCATACACTAAAAGAGGTGGGCCTGGCGGTAAGGTGAGATCAAAGGCCTCTATCTCTCTGACCTAGATGCAACGTTTTAACTCCCATTAAAGAATTTTTCAATTGAAAGAGAAAATTATCTTCTACTTTTTTTTTAAAGTGAGGTAAAGTTAAAGGAGTGTTACGACTCGTCTTTAGAAAGTACACAAGTCAATTTGACACTTCTTTGAAGAAAAAGTAAGAAATGAGTGATGATAAAATTTCATCTACTTTTTATAACAACTTTCAAATAGCAAGTTGCGTGCAATTTCAAATTTATATTCGATTCGAAAACAGGAGTTGCATGCAATCTGCAATTTATATTAGTTTGAAAAACAGGAGTTGTATGCAATCTCACATTATATTCGATTCGAAAACAGGCGTTGCATACAATTTACAATTTATATTCGACTCGAAAACAGGCGTTGCATGCAATCTCTAATTTATATCAGTCTGAAAAACAGGAGTTGCATGCAATCTCTAATTATATTAGACTCGAAAACAGGAGTTGTATGCAATGTCCAATTTATATACGGTGATTAAAAGGATATTGCTAATGCCCTCAGTGACGTGTAGACTGAAGTACAGACTGAAACTTCTTTTAAAGAATACAGCACACTAGTCTATGCGCCAGTTTCGTGCACAGCCTAGTAAAGTGAGCATAATTTTCGCAAAATTCCACACTAAAAAGGCATAATGTCGTGCCTCTGCCGTATGAAAAAGGTTAAAAAATAACTTCATTGTCGGAGTTAATAACCCATTCTTCGGGTCACCGAGATAAACAGGTTAATTGTACCCATTTTCTAGGCAACACCTCATCTTACCTAACATACAAGAATTCGATTTACTTTCAAAAAATGCACCCAAGTTCATTGCTTGATGCAATACGAAAGTGAAAATATTTACGTGCACCTCCATTGTTTAGAAACCATTTCTTTTACAATAAAGGCACCTCTTGATTCGTTTAATTAATTTTAAAAAAAATAATAATTTTCCTCTTTAAACAAGTTGCAGAAGCCGCGTTAAAGGGTTAAAATAAGATTTCAGCCATTTCAAGGTAATCCTGTTTGCTCCACCAACGGAAAGAAATCTTTAGTCACGTTGTTGCACAGATTTTTTTAAAGTGAGGTAAAGTTAAAGGAGTGTTACGACTCGTCTTTAAAAAGTACACAAGTCAATTTGACACTTCTTTGAAGAAAAAGTAAGAAATGAGTAATGATAAAATTCCATCTACTTTTTATAACAACTTTCAAATAGCAAGTTGCGTGCAATTTCAAATTTATATTCCATTCGAAAACAGGAGTTGCATGCAATCTCTAATTTATATTAGTTTGAGAAACAGGAGTTGTATGCAATCTCACTTTATATTCGATTCGAAAACAGGAGTTGTATGCAATCTCCTATTATATTCGACTCGAAAACAGGAGTTGCATGCAATCTCTAATTTATATTAGTCTGAAAAACAAAAGTTGTATGCAATCTCCTATTATATTCGATTCGAAAACAGGAGTTGTATGCAATCTCCCATTATATTCGACTCGAAAACAGGAGTTGCATGCAATCTCCAATTATATTAGACTCTAAAACAGGAGTTGCATGCATTTCCAATTTATATTAGACTCTAAAACGGGAGTTGCATGCATTTCCAATTTATTGGGTTGAGTCATAAATAAGTTCCGTTTTCTAAACTGAAATTTATTTGCCAATAAAATGTACAGCAATAGACTTTAATCTATCACATATTCACCATCATTATTAACCCCTTTTGAGCCGTCCATTTTTTTAAAATTTTTAATTAAGCATAAAAAATACTTAAAACTGAAAAAAAACGAAAGAAATGCGTTAATTTTGAAGAAAAAGTAAGAAATGAGTGATGATAAAATTTCATCTACTTTTTATAACAACTTTCAAATAGCAAGTTGCGTGCAATTTCAAATTTATATTCGATTCGAAAACAGGAGTTGCATGCAATCTGCAATTTATATTAGTTTGAAAAACAGGAGTTGTATGCAATCTCACATTATATTCGATTCGAAAACAGGCGTTGCATACAATTTACAATTTATATTCGACTCGAAAACAGGCGTTGCATGCAATCTCTAATTTATATCAGTCTGAAAAACAGGAGTTGCATGCAATCTCTAATTATATTAGACTCGAAAACAGGAGTTGTATGCAATGTCCAATTTATATACGGTGATTAAAAGGATATTGCTAATGCCCTCAGTGACGTGTAGACTGAAGTACAGACTGAAACTTCTTTTAAAGAATACAGCACACTAGTCTATGCGCCAGTTTCGTGCACAGCCTAGTAAAGTGAGCATAATTTTCGCAAAATTCCACACTAAAAAGGCATAATGTCGTGCCTCTGCCGTATGAAAAAGGTTAAAAAATAACTTCATTGTCGGAGTTAATAACCCATTCTTCGGGTCACCGAGATAAACAGGTTAATTGTACCCATTTTCTAGGCAACACCTCATCTTACCTAACATACAAGAATTCGATTTACTTTCAAAAAATGCACCCAAGTTCATTGCTTGATGCAATACGAAAGTGAAAATATTTACGTGCACCTCCATTGTTTAGAAACCATTTCTTTTACAATAAAGGCACCTCTTGATTCGTTTAATTAATTTTAAAAAAAATAATAATTTTCCTCTTTAAACAAGTTGCAGAAGCCGCGTTAAAGGGTTAAAATAAGATTTCAGCCATTTCAAGGTAATCCTGTTTGCTCCACCAACGGAAAGAAATCTTTAGTCACGTTGTTGCACAGAGCGTGACTGTAACACCTGTCTTAGGTAGAATGGGCCACGAATGCTTTATTGGGTAATTTTGTACTTTTCCCAATTGAAAAATATTATCTGTCCCCGGTATGCAAGTAAAAATTCGAGAATTTCGGAACGAATTTAATGTTTATCTTGTCACGTATTGTTCATATACACCAGGAGAAAAACACCTATCAAACCGTGCAATCTGGGAAAACATCCCNGTTGCATGCAATCTCTAATTTATATCAGTCTGAAAAACAGGAGTTGCATGCAATCTCTAATTATATTAGACTCGAAAACAGGAGTTGTATGCAATGTCCAATTTATATACGGTGATTAAAAGGATATTGCTAATGCCCTCAGTGACGTGTAGACTGAAGTACAGACTGAAACTTCTTTTAAAGAATACAGCACACTAGTCTATGCGCCAGTTTCGTGCACAGCCTAGTAAAGTGAGCATAATTTTCGCAAAATTCCACACTAAAAAGGCATAATGTCGTGCCTCTGCCGTATGAAAAAGGTTAAAAAATAACTTCATTGTCGGAGTTAATAACCCATTCTTCGGGTCACCGAGATAAACAGGTTAATTGTACCCATTTTCTAGGCAACACCTCATCTTACCTAACATACAAGAATTCGATTTACTTTCAAAAAATGCACCCAAGTTCATTGCTTGATGCAATACGAAAGTGAAAATATTTACGTGCACCTCCATTGTTTAGAAACCATTTCTTTTACAATAAAGGCACCTCTTGATTCGTTTAATTAATTTTAAAAAAAATAATAATTTTCCTCTTTAAACAAGTTGCAGAAGCCGCGTTAAAGGGTTAAAATAAGATTTCAGCCATTTCAAGGTAATCCTGTTTGCTCCACCAACGGAAAGAAATCTGTAGTCACGTTGTTGCACAGAGCGTGACTGTAACACCTGTCTTAGGTAGAATGGGCCACGAATGCTTTATTGGGTAATTTTGTACTTTTCCCAATTGAAAAATATTATCTGTCCCCGGTATGCAAGTAAAAATTCGAGAATTTCGGAACGAATTTAATGTTTATCTTGTCACGTATTGTTCATATACACCAGGAGAAAAACACCTATCAAACCGTGCAATCTGGGAAAACATCCCCCCGACCTTCACTGAATTGTTTCCTAGAAATCACCTTTTAGACCCCACTTTTTCGGCAACTTTCACTTGAGAAAAATTTACATACATTCTTCGTGAAGGCGTGACGTAACGCCATTATGTAACTACAAATATATATATATATATATGGCCGTAACGGTTACTAATTAGCATAAGAAAAGTTTTACTATACCTTATTTTTAAATTTAATCAGCAGTTCGGATGCTGGTCTTAAGAAACTTTCCATAAATCTCTTGTGGTTACCATTGTAGTGTACCAGCAGCATGTCCCTACACTGCTTCACTAGCTGCTTTCTAACAGAACGAAACGGTTGATAAATACTACCGAGGTATTGTTCTGCTAGAGTAGAAACATCGTGTGAAATCTGAAAATAAAGTATTAATATCCATACTAGTTGTAGTGTTATTCATAATTCATACCATAGTAACAAACTAACAGTAATTAAAACTACTTTAATAAGAGAATTTCTAATTAAATTGGCATGTGTTACCACAACAACAAGATGTATTGTCTGCCAAGAATCACAATTTGTTACTCTAGTAGCATCGATGTGTATAAAAATAGGGAAACGAGGTCAACACTCACGCTGTTACTTGTTGCCCTTCAAAATTTGAACCCTCATTAGATGTAAATTCCTCTAGTTTGATCGTTGAAACGATAAATGTTACTACTACATTAAATAATAAAAGTAACTTTAGTAACAAATTATGTTTATAGGTCATACATGGCTGTTTATTCTGCTCGTATCAATTATTTCATAACGTGCCAGCCGAGTCAATCTGCAAATAGTCACTATGGCAGTAACTTATTTATAAGCCCCTGTTTTTTTTTTGGTTACTTTAGTAGTAATTCCTCTGTCGTTGGCGTCGAGCTGAGAATTTCATCCTCTGCATTCTTCACTTCCCAGTGCAACGGCCCAGTGAACTGATTGGCACATATCCCAAAATACTTCCGGATATAATCATACAACCGAAAGTAGCACATGCCTAACCCTGTTTTCAATAAAAACTAAGGTTAAGTTCGGTTTCTACAAGCCGAAAAGTAGGACAGAATTCAATGGGTGATGCGGCATTTCTTTCACTACTTTCACTTCTAAGTAATCCTGCACCCCTACACACACACATACAGCAGCAGCATCCCAGTGGATCGAAACAGAGAAACAGTCGTGCCTGACTAGTAAATTTTCCTGGTTTTACTTCACTGTCCTAACGCCTAAACGGGCCAATTTACCATAGAAGTCCTTCCTGGTGGCACCCCCTTGGTAGATCGCTGCAGAAAGCATGCCTCTTCGATTTCAATTTGTGTTAAAATGATCCATAGTTGCTGATGATTACCATAAATTATAATCTGAAGAATCTTTCTTCATTGTTCTGGAAGGGATCTATGCACTAAGTTTTGGGACACATACCAAATTATTTCTCTCTGCTCTGTAACTATGGTTCTACAGGTTCTATCATTAGTTCTGGAAGTATTCTAGAACCTGATACTGAATACCATGCATCAAATAATTGGATTGATGGAACAAGGCAAGGCAACACGTGAATGATCTACCAAGGGTTTTCTACAGTAAAATATCCCCTATTTAGGTGTTACACACGTAAAGAAAACCCACGTTACCAGCATTTTAGTGGGAAGGAAACCAGCGACCAAATATAGTGGTTTTATCCGCCCGTCCACTGGAGGGTGCACTATACATCACAGAATTAAAGGTTTAATTCTAGAACTACATGCCAACTCAATTCTGGAATCATTAACTATTTAGTGTGATTCTATTCACTGACCCTGTGGGGTTATGCATCAATTTCTCTGAAATCAATGGTGTTGTATCACCTTCTTGGTAATTAAAAATCTTAATTTCATTAGTTCAAAAGTTAAATAGGTTATATACCATTTAAGTTTAACACTAATTAATCTAACCTTATTCTCCTGAATTCAGGAGTAATATTTTATCAATTAATCATCTGTAAGGAGCTTATACGTAAGTTACTTCATCTCAGTTCAAAAGCCACCATAAAGTTCACGAGTTAAACAATCCATGTAGAATAGTTCAAAGGTCAAACGTGGTATTTCACCCTGGTTCAGAATTTTTAATATTTTTCACGGTTTTAGAACATTTCACCAGTTTTTTCCTCTGAGGTTTTCGAGTCATTATTTATAGAACGAGTCCTCGTAGCCTTTCTGCACTAACTCAACCCCTTAGCTCCTTTAACACCTGCCTGTTAATATCCCCCCCCCCCGAATGGAGGGGTGCGGAATTAATTACCCTGGTTTTACGGCCGTTAATGACGTCAGGGAACGTGATAGAATAGCCAGTTACGTCAGTTTTAACAGTTGATCAATGTCTAACAATCGTGAGGTTTAACTGTTGGGCATATACCCCATTGAGGAAATGTAGGAGGATTAATTCTTAGTGTAGGGTACTTCTTGGCATGACACTTCTACACTTAAAGGTGGGTAACAATACTCTTAAACACTGTTTCGCCTCATTAATAACACATCAAATTATACTGTAATGGGTATTTTAGTGCCACATCATCGCAGCACCGATATAAAATCTTAAGGTTACTTACCCCATAATAGAGACGTGCCTCCATTCTCATTCGGTTTGCACCCCTTCCATTATCGACAGATTGAAATCTGTTTACTTCCTGTCTACTCTTCTCCCCGATTTTACGTTTCAACCCGCATTCATCGTTCACTTTCCCCACATTGCGATGTATATCCAACGTTCTCATGTATCTAGTGATGCTGTTGTCGCATATCGACCATAGGGTAGTGTACAGCACGGTACGACTCTGTCGGTAATCCGAAGTATAATACAGCGTGGTCTTTTGCCTCCTGTAAAAACCAAAACCGCATTCGACGGACAGAAATTTACGTTTTAACTCCTCACCCCTTCTTACAGGATGTAAAACGTTCGAGATAACTGACGAGTAATTCTCTTTCTCTGATTGGTCGGCTTCGGCAGGTGTCTGTAAAGAAGAAAATCACGATATTCATCCCTTTGGAAAGTATACGTTACACAACTTTACAAGAAAACCCTGCGTAACTTTAAAAATCGAGTTACGTTAATCGATTGTATCTATGAACTAATTTCGGTGTTACGAAACACAGGCAGGACCTAATTCGAATTTTAAATCGCGTTTACAAACTAGGCAACTCGTAGGAATCTTTTTAATAAGGTTAAAGTCCTATTTGACCCCTTAAATACACAACTTATGGGCTATTCCTCTTTACGTATAGGAGCGAGAGTTACACTAGTCGTTCGTCCTTGAGGGGAGAGAAACCAACGACTACCACGTGATACACTATATATATATAAAGACGAACCTAAACAAACGGGAGCAAGGTTGATGGCCTTAGAAAGCCCATTAAGTTATTTAGCCATCCCCCCCTTTAATAGATTAAAGATTACCTCGGTAGCGATTATGTCCACCATGTTCTTGGTTTGCATGTAGACTTGCAACTGTCCACAGCTTCAGCATGATGATGGAAGAGTCTAAACCCTCTATTCGTTAGGGGTTGTCGCCCCCTGACTGTAGGCGGTTCCGGGAAAAAGCGGGTCTATTAGGGGATATTCTTTACTAAATCCATCATACGTTGAGACATGGGGCGATCCATTCAAATGTTTACAAGATAGATTTTTTTGTTAAGGAGCAGAAGGCGATGCTTTATATAAAAGTGGACCCCCTTCGATGCTTGTGACGTCACGTGGTCGCATATTTTTTAGAATAGGAGCGTTAATTTCGCTCCTATTTCTTACCAAATTAGCCACCACCCCGCGTGCGTTTTAATCAATTAGTATCGTGCAGTTTGATGCTGAAAGAAGTTCCGATGGAAAGCATTTCGTGATGTCACGTGCAGCCTAATTCATCCGGAGCAATGCCAAAAGAGAAGAAGAATGCTGCAGCATCGTCAATAAAAGTGGCGACACTTCTTCTCCATCAATATACCTGTAGACTGGCTGGCGACACGAACATCCCGGAGTTTGGGAACATCCTCAGCTGCCCTCCCGAAGTCTAGACTGAATGGCGTCCATCTACATTGACCCACAATGACCCTCGTTTGTTTTAAAGGTAGAAAATGACCCGTAGAAATGGCTTGGGTGCCCTCGATTAATCCTATATTAAATGCATCTGAGAAAGTTTTGTTTACAACACTAATTTAAACTTTGACCTATTTTTCACCCTCTTAATAAATAGCACTCTCTCTCTCTCTCTCTTTACACCAAACAGGTCTTCCTCCCCACGAACCATTTCGTGGGGAGAAAGACCTGTTTGGTCTTCACACACCTGAACCATATTGTCTTATATTTCTCCATAAAACACATCCTTATGAACATTACCACGAAGTGGTCCACGGGAATGAAGACACTACCTGCACTTTAAAGCACGTGTTAAAGCTCCCAAATTTGGGTGAAACCAACAAACACGTGTAATTTAAAACAGATCTTTACACCTGTAACAGCATACATCGTGCTTATAGTTACGAATTTGAATCCCTGGTTTTGCTTTGTTGGCGGATTCCCTTGTTACTTAATACCTGGTGAGGTATCGAGTTTTGTCACGTGTTCGGAGGAAGAAAGGGAAGTTTTTTTAGCATCTTCCACAACAAAAGTGTGTCAATAACCCTTCAACCTATCAGCATTACCATCTCCAGGAAGACGATGAGGTCTTTAATGATACGTCGCGTCAGTTATGCCTTCCAACCAGTTGATATAATTGGGACAAAACAGGTCCATCCCCAAAATGTACGTCCCTTTAAATTATATAGTCCGCTACTTTGTTTCTGCCCATACCAGTTATTTGCCCTTTCAACTCGCCGACGACGCACCTTTTCTTCTTCTCAAATTAATGTGTTACGTCCAAACAGGTGAGAAACGATCCTCACTAACAGGTCCAACCCCCCGCGTAACTGATGATCCTTGTATTTTACGGAAAATTGCCTTTAACATTAATTATCAGAAAGAGACAACTTAGGGGGAGACAAAAGAACAGTTTTACGCTATTTTAACCCAATAATAAGGTAAAGCCGTGTGGTTACATTATGCTACTTTAGTGGCCCATTAACTGTGTTAATAAGCTCTTTGAATTATGTCAGCGGTTGACTAAAAATTGGTGAATTAACCTTGAGGCAACCACTGTTTTCTTCCGGATTTTTATGCTAGTGTTACAAGTTTATGCCTAATTTTCGGAACTTAATAATTGTGCTTTCAAATTTATGCTGACTTTACGCATATTTATGTTACTACTAGCATAAATACGTGTAAAGTCAGCATACATTTGGAAGCACAAGTATTAAGTTTCGAAAATTAGGCACAAACTTGGAAGTACAAACAGGCAATTCCTAAAATTAAGCACAGACTCGGAAGTACAATCAGGCAATTCTTAAAATTAGGCACAAACTTGAAAGTACAAGCAGGCAATTCCTAAAATTAGGCATAAACTCGGAAGTACAAGCAGGCAATTCCTAAAATTAGGCATAAACTCGGAAGTACAATCAGGCAATTCTTAAAATTAGGCACAAACTTGAAAGTACAAAAAGGCAATTCCTAAAATTAGACATAAACTCGGAAGTACAAGCAGGCAATTCCTAAAATTAGGCATAAACTTGGAAGTACAAGCAGGCAATTCCTAAAATTAGGCATAAACTTGGAAGTACAAGCAGGCAATTCCTAAAATTAGGCATAAACTCAGAAGTACAATCAGGCAATTCCTAAAATTAGGCATAAACTTGGAAGTACAAGCAGGCAATTCCTAAAATTAGGCATAAACTCGGAAGTACAAGCAGGCAATTCCTAAAATTAGGCATAAACTCGGAAGTACAAGCAGGCAATTCCTAAAATTAGGCATAAACTTGGAAGTACAAGAGGCAATTCCTAAAATTAGGCATAAACTTGGAAGTGCAAGCAGGCAATTTATGCCTCTCTCAAGACATTTATGCTAGTGCTTACAAATTTATGCCTAACTTTCTACGTTGTGTTGTGTGTTTATATATGACCCAATTTATGCAATTTTTCCGTTCTTTAACTTATGCTCTTTATACTCTTTAATACGAAATAAATGAAACAGAACCATTTTAAAAATTACACAATCAAACAGCCCTTGTTACCAGACCCCTTTACTGTTAAAATAATACAAAAATCGAAATATATTTCTGATACTTTAGGCAAGCATTTTACATAAAATTAATCACAAAGAGGGCCTTCAACATCTTAAACTCATACAAAAATAATACCCTAATATCCAACGTGCTTATATATATAATGTATATTATAAATAGTGTCTTAAACTGTTAATACAAGTGGAGAGTTTCATCACGTTGTGTTCAGACCACGTGATAAAGCCAACCCTCTAAACACTATATAACAGCAAACGATACTCATAAGCAGTGTATTAGTATGCCCTTTTACTACAGAAACCTTTACTACAGACAGTACTAATACGTAAGAATTTAATTAGTAATCAGGAAGGTCGCAGCAGATTAATAAACACGTCATTGAGTAATTAAATGTGTAATTTCTGTAAAAAAATTTAGCATATAGTTAAAGTTTTTGCAACTTAGCAGTGCATTAACCGAACAGAAAGTCTGTTAACAATAACAATCCCACCTTAACAATCGGTTTCCGGCACAGACGATTGAAGAAGGTCCAGACAGCCGACGCCATCGCCACCGAAAAGCGGATGAAACCTCATAAGTCACGTGGTTCTCGCCCGTCACGTGACGTGCAGTTCGTCTTTCAGAATAAATATGGACGATGAGTCTCGCGCGCTCAATTTAGAATGTGACAATTTTGGGAAGTATCGACATTTATTATTGTTCTAATCCGGAAAGTGTCGCGTTGGAAGTAATGCCGTGTGACTGCTTTTCTTCGATAATACAAGGGGAAAAAAAGCGCTAGTGGGTTGAGGAATGAGAACCTTTTAGTCTTTAACTGTTATTTGGGAAGTTGAGGGGTGAAAACTCTTTGTTTTTACCTGTTTTTTTTAGGTGATGAGGAGTGAAAACTGGAAAAAAAACCCACTGGACTTTGAAAGTCGGTCGCGGGTTCGGGCCTCATCAATAGAGTTTTCCTGATTTTCCTCACTTTTCTAGCACCTAAATGGTGGCCACTTTCTTGTATAACCTCCCCCGAGAGGCATATCGCCCAGTGACTCGTTACATCTTCATGAGGCCCAAGTAAATTTGAATTAGAGGGACTACGTACAGTGTTGACTTCAAGCATTTTTTTCGAGGGAATTTTTCGAGAGAGGAAGGAGGGAATTCTTATAAAATATTCGTATAGAGCCACTGTAAATGGGAAACTACGACAATTGCCCCTTTTGCCCATAGGATACATTAATGCGCTACTGAAATGGCTCATGTGTCGCATTCACTTATTTCGTCGAACCAAGTTTAGGGCCTGGCATTGTGAGCCTGTACGTAATGCCTCACATTTTGAATGTATTCAGTGGAGGGGAAGGACCTGTTATACATTATAACATAGGGCCACAACAGTTTCAACCATTATTAAGCAGTAATTAATGCATAATTATGAAAGTAGACATAGAAACTTGAAATTTTCGAACGGGTAATGACGCTTGTCAACTAATTTACATCATAATTTGCGGTAATTAAATGGGTTTCTAAAGGGTAATTATTCGCAAAAAATGTGCTAAACAGCATTAACAGCGCTTCATAAACACACGGGTGAGGAATTTATGAACTAATTTTGTCATCAATCCTATCGCAGCTTGGTTATATTAGTGATAGGAACGTTTATAAATAGTTTGGAAAGTCATGCTGCTAGCGCGAATTTCTGCAACTTGGCATTAATTTAGCACTAATTTCTATTAGTAAACACATACTAAATCCCACCTCTAACGTTTACATAGTAATTATTCATTAATAACTGTTGCTACTATGTGTAATTTATCGTTGCCCACCACTGAAGTCTGATGAGCTCGCGGGTTCGCACCCCAAGCGTGGAAGTTTGCTAGTATCACGTGACTAGGACCACAAAAAGGCCACGTGCATTGCCTCGTCCCATCAAACCAGACAAATTATTAACGTAAACTTACTCCCTGCCTAACCTAATTATTACAAATTACACTTAAACTAAATGTAATTACCAAAATTCAATGCAATCAATCGCGTGCTAATGCCTAAATTTAATGCTAATATGTAACACCAGTAAGTACTTAAGTTATCTCTACTCCTTACCTAATCTAGTTACTGCTAATTACAATTAAACTGAATAGTAATTGCAAATTTAACTGTAATTAATATCGCGCGAAACGTTAACTATGCCACTTACTTAACTACAGTCGAACCTGCCAACGACGGACATTGACGAAACGTAAAAAAAAAATGGCTTATGTTCGGAGGTGGCCGTTGTTTACAGGTTATTTTGTAAGCATTAAATGAAAGAAGTCCTTGAGAAAAAAATGGTCGTCGTTTAAACTGTATTCATTTAATGCTAGATTTAACAGCAGACTACAAATCAATTATTCACTTAAATATAATTAAGTAATAACTAATCTAATTATAATAAACGAGCATGATTATTTAATTATAACAGGTCAAATAGTTAGTTATAATCAGGCAAACACTAAACCATAATTTAATTATAATCAAGCAAATAAATGCTAACGTAATTACGATTAACTTATTAACAACCGCTAGCTTGGCTATGATTTAAATGGTAGAGAATGGTAATTTAATTACATTAAACACATAATTTGCAATTAACTTGCGATAATTGTAATTATTCGTAATTATTCGATTATAAAGCTGAAATTAATCATTTGAACCGTACTTAATGGTAATTTAATTAATACTAACTAATTGCAATTAATTCAATTTAAACTAGAATTGACCGATTTAACTATTGTAAATGCTAATATAACCACATTAAGCATTGACTTAATTGTAATTAACTCACCATAATTATATTTAATCCAATCTAAGCTAAAATTAATTACTTTGAATAGTACAAAATAGTAATTTAACCACACTAATTATCGATTTTAATTGTAATTAAATCAATTTAAACTAGAATTGATCGATTTAACTAGTATAAATGCTAATATAACTACATTAAGCATTAACTTAATTGTAATTAAGTTACCATAATTGTAATTAATCGAATTTATGCTAAGATTAATTCATTTAAATTGGTAATATAACTACAGTTAATGTAGTTAATTGTAATTAACTTACCATAATTATAATTAATCGATTTTAAGCTTGGATTAATTAATTAAAATTGCCAACATAACTAGAGTTAATGTAGTTAATTGTAATTAACTTACCATAATTGTAATTAGTCGAAATTAATATAAAATTAACTTACCAGCCTGACAAACATAATTTGCGACGAAGAAACAAAGAGAAAAAATTAGAACAAGAAACGAAGGAAAAGTGCAAATTATTCCCATACTTAAACAATGCAAATTATTATTAATCAAAGAGAACCTAAGGAAACAATACTTAATTAGAAACGAAACATTTATTTTTGTAAACGTTTCTAACGTTGCATACAGGTGGAAAAACGTAAAAGGGAAACTCAAAACCTTCGCTTTCACGCATAAAACTCACTGATTTAACGAAGTTTTCTGGCCACACGACCCTATTTTTAGCACTAAAAAATAGGGAAAATATTTTGCAATTTTTTTAAAATCGCTTACCGATTTAACGCCCGTTTAATCTTCTCGGTGGCATTCCTTGAACTGATTGCTGGTCATCACCTTCTCCTACACTCGTTCCTCGCCACGTATTTAATATAAACATTAAGTTTTATCGTCGTTTAGACCTAGATCGAGATAAACCCTATTCAACTTTTATAAATACGCTTGTTTCTTTTTCTGATTTTAAACCTAATTAATTAAACGTTCGCCGAATTCTGCCAAGATTTTTCTTTCGATAGAATTACGCAGAATCCCGTATCAAAATCTGATACTTTAGGGATAATTTTTTTTTGGGTACACACCCTAAATGAGCTAATTCTTTGGCCCTCTCGTCATTTATTCACACAGGAGACATCCAGACAGCTTGACAGCTCTAATTTGTTTATAAATGAAGAATTTCACTCAACGCAATCAATCGCTTATCAGGTGATCCACTTACTAAATGTGGACATAAGTAAATAAACAATTTAACCTTACGACCCTGAGTATTAAGTGCCTCCTTTTCTGGACCATTGACTCTATTTTTTAGGCTATATATCGAAATTATTTGTCTTATGCCTAAAGGCCCGCGAAGGTGCCTAAAGTATGCTTTTTTTTTTTTTTTAATGCTTACTTTCACGCTGCCATCATTAAGTAATTTTTACATTCTAGTCACGTGGACCATTAGCGGTAATGAGGGCGTGGGGTGTAGGTGAGGTCTTACTATAAACTCTTTTCTAATTAGGTAAACTTGGTACTTGCTTTCATGAATAATTTCGTACTCGAAGTGTCAGAATTTTTGCTTTAAATTCGAAAATTCTCATTCGAATATTTCGCATTCCACGAATTATTTTAATGGTTTTTTAAGTGACGGCCCTGCTTTTGTAATGGTTTTTGTAAGTACTGTATTTGTAATCATTTAATAAAGATCCCACATTGTAAGTGAATTAATGAAGACTTCACTTTGTGAGTAATTTAATGAAGACCCCACTTTGTGAGTAATTTAATGAAGACCCCACTTTGTGAGTAATTTAATGAAGACCCCTCTTTGTGAGTAATTTAATGAAGACCCCACTTTGTGAGTAATTTAATGAAGACCCCACTTTGTGAGTAATTTAATGAAGACCCAACTTTGTGAGTAATTTAATGAAGACCCCAATTTGTGAGTAATTTAATAAAGACCCCTCTTTGTGAGTAATTTAATGAAGACCCCACTTTGTGAGTAATTTAATGAAGACCCCACTTTGTGAGTAATTTAATGAAGACCCCTGTTTGTGAGTGAATAAATGAAGATCCCAGTTTGTAAGTGATTTAATGAAGACCCCATTTTGTAAGTGAATAAATGAAGATCCCAGTTTGTAAGTGAATAAATGAAGACCCCAGTTTGTAAGTGAATAAATGAAGACACTACTTTAATAGGTATTTCTAACGACTGATAAATTCCCTGTCTTTTTAATGGTTTTAATGAAGATCCTCTTTGTATATATTGTAATAATTGTAATAAAGACCCAATTCTGTAATTATACACTCCATCTATGCGTTTTCATTGCATGCTTTTTAAGAATTTATAAGTTTTTAAACAATGTCTACGTGCTTATAAATTCGTAACCAGTGCAAACAGGATCTATAAACTAACAAAACAGGGTGTTCACAGGTATAACGGGAAGGAATACTTGGCACTAATTATACGCGGTTTTGTAATACTATAAGAATATGTAAGCTTTAACTTTACGAGAACCCGTCAAAGAGGTTGGTATAAATGGAACGAAAGCGCTTCACACGAGCAGATAAAAATGGATTAATTTGGAGGAAAACTACTTCCAACAAACACGTTAGGTGAGATTGCACGAGGATGTACCAAAACAATTTGGACAATAAGCCAGTCGGACCGACAATAGAGCGAGGGTGCAAGGTAATAAAAAGGTAAACCACACTAATCTTGGTAATAAAACGTGGCGGGTACTTCTATAGATGTTTCGAGCTGCAGATCCGATCTTGTCTTTCTGTGTCATCTGGGGTACAAAGAAGAGTCTCTCACCCACCCAAAACTCGATTTATCAACCTGACCAGCATATAAACCAAATTTAGTTTTGCCACTCCCTTTGCGGTGTCATAAGTCAAAAAAAAAAAAAACGCAGCTAATACTTTAATTGGCGGTGTGGGTC